AACGCGGTACTAATGGTACTGTTGGCGCTGCTGGTGCTGCTGGAGCAGGTACAGGAGCTGGTGGTAATGCCGCTGGTGGTCCAGGTGCTGAAGTTACTGGTGTTGCTCCTGCAGGTGGTAATACCGTTTCACCCAGTTCTGTTCCGGAAGCAAGTCAAGGTACGAAACCTGATCAAGGCGAAGCTGATCGCGCTGCTTCAGCACCTCGTGAGGAAACTGGTGGTCATACTGCAGTTGAAGATCACGCTGAAAGAACCGATAACAGTACAGCAGGTGGAAGTGCAACAACTGCTGACGGCGCCGCACAACAGCCTTCTTCTTCCAACACTACAGTCACAGAGAGTACCAGTGAATCTGACACTTCACCTAATGAGAATGGCGGTACGTCTGCAGGAACTGAGTCAACAAGCACACAAGAGAGAAATGTGGGAAATACAAATACCACCACAACAACAACAACACTTCCTCCTGAACTCACAAACAACAAGAAGGGTGATGCAGACAGCAGCAGCAGTATCAGCAGTTCTGTGTGGGTGCGTGTGCCACTACTGATTGTGGTTACACTGGCCTGTATTCTTGTGTGCTGATTGTGGTATGGTGTGACTCAGGTCATCCTTTGTTTTCTTTTCTTCTTTTTTGTATGCATCCCTACAGTCTAACTAATCTTCCACCTGTTGGGATTATATTCTTCTTTTTTTTGTTTATTAATGTTAATGTGTGTCTTGTGTGTTTTTGCTCTCTGTGTTTATCCTATAATAATTATTATTGCTACTCCATTGTGTGTGTGTGTGTTCTTGGAGACTCTATTTCTGTGTGTGCACCTGTGCTTGCACTGTAATGATGATGACGAATTGGTTTTTTTGCAGTGGGAAAAGAAAAGGAAATAATAATAATAGATGAATTTATATTTATAATTGCTTGTATATACACACATATATAGACTTACACCCATAGTTGGTGTATATTTATGTGTTTATTGGGTAAGTTGGACTAAGGGTTAATATCTGTTTCTTTGCTTATGATTTGCTGGGGCATTCTATGCTGTATTGCGGGAGTCTTTGATGATATGGATGTACTTTTGTTTCTAAGTTTACTGAATTAGATTCGCTGTATTGCTTTGTTTGTGATAGTCTTTTTTTTTTCTTCTTTGTTGAGGTTCTATGTGCTTCTCTAGTTGTATATACGTGTGGGTTTTGGTATTATGATCATGTGTTTGGTTCTCTTATATTTTTGTGTCTTTGTAGTTGAGTATTTTTAAGCGAAGCCCAACAACCACTATTATGGCTACGAAGAAGATAATGGGCCACGTGTTGTGCTTACTGACTTTCTTCCTGTACTGCTTCTGTGGAAGTGTGATGGCTAACCCACATCAGGGTTATCGTGGTGTACATGGTGCCCCTGGATTGGCTGGAGTGCCTGGTGGTGTTTATCCTGATCCTTTAGGAC